TGTCATTTCCACTTTAGTATAGAAAAATAGCTATAAGAATCCAGTGATCTCTGATGGTCCATCTCTACTATCTAATAAATATTAGACTTAGAGAAAAAACACTATATTCCTCCTCCTGCCTATCCTCCAAACATCTGTTTCATACTGTGAAGCATCATGTTTCTACTAGGGTGAATAAAAAACTAAGAGTTGTGAAACTCAATCCTTGCATCCTCCATCAAATTTGTCTACAGAAAGTAGCGTTAGTCCGGTATCACCAGCTTTCGTCTGTACCCATTGATTAAATTGGAGCATCTTCAAAAGCGAGTGCTGCAACTAAATCTATCCACCACTGAGCTGTGATAAACTTACCAATATTGAAAGTCCATTGGTAATTCCATTTATCAATAGTCAACTATGACTCTAACTCAATAAAAGTCAACAAATTACGACCTTTCCATACATACCATGCACCTCATCTTTATATAGGTGTTTAGTCTCACTATCTTGTCTTTGACACACCCTGCTTCTTTAAGACAAGTTAGTGTCAATCCGACTTCTTTGTCTAACTTCAAAAGAATATGAAATCTTTTCATCTTCCACATAAGTCATCAATTTCCTAGCAATAGCTAATTGTTGCAAATTATGACCCAAAAAAAAAAAAAAAAATTCCATATTATTTATGAAAATGAAGAAACTTAGTTTCCTCCTCCATGTGCAACACCGGCAAATTCCTCCTAATGACACACCCTCGTGAATAAATTCTTGATTAAGAATTTACTGATGAAGATTTATTCAGTTTCCCATCCTCACTCAGTGTCATTCCGATAAGTACTTAATCCACTACTAAATCCTCCTTCCGACTTGGTAACAACTTCTTAAATTTTCAAGAAGATATTCAGCAAATCCAGCACCTCTGATAAATCATCATGGCGTTATAGTGATTTTTATTTACCACCACCTCACGCATACTGAAACATTAACAACTACCAATATCATGGTGTTATAATATGATACGAATCCATATCTAACGTAAAGTATATTAAACTAATCGTTCTAGATTATTTGACTCGCAGTGTTGATTTAACTATCCCATCCCAAAACACACCATAATGACACATGTCCAAGTCTAATAGATTGGCTAGATTTATGTGTATCTACCAAATCTTACGACCGTACGCTCACAAATCTAGCGTAAATAACGCTATTACTCCATATTATTAAAACAATAGTTAGTTGATCACACACTTGTGTCCCCAACTAAACCACATACCAAATCTCGAGTAATTAACAAAAAAAATAAAACATGTATGATAAACACAATGAAACAAGATATACTTCAACTTAGGATATCGTTCTTTCTAAAAAAGAAAGCCTCCTTTGAAATCAACCTTACTAGATTTTTTTCAAATTTTCCTTTTATAGTTTCATAAATAATCATCCAATCTCGAAATATATCTTTTAAAACATAGCTTAAAAACACAAATGTTTGCCTAAGCAAATACCAAGGGCTTAACCCTCATCCTTCTTATATGCGGAATGTAAACTGTCTAACTTGGCTTTTTAAAGCGAATTAGAACATCACAACATAATACTAATGCCCTCTTGTTTGTGATTTAAAAATAATGTATTTCATTCTAATAAGAACACATCCGATCCCCAAACTCCTGAACAATACTTCTTATATACCTCTTTTAGAGATGATAAGAAAGCTTAATTATTTGTAGATTGATCAACTTCAATTCTATTAATAACATTCGCTATACTACTAGCAATTCAAATCACCTCGCGCGATCATCCATCTTCAAGATTTAGTACCATCTCTATTGGATGCATATAAATCTCCTCCATTAGGATCCTCTTCGGCTCCTACTCCTCGCTTGTCTCCTTTTTGAGATCAACTGAAGTCGTGTTGGCCCCGATATACGGTGACCTATCACGTACACCTAAATCCTTCATTGGCTTATACTTTTAAAGTAACGCCAAACAAACTTAAACCATCGATCCCTAACTCTGCCTTCTGGCAACGAAATTGATAACGTGTTCCTTTACTCCTTTGAGCCTTTATCGCTTTCGCCTTGAACCCATCCTTTTCCTAGTGCCAACCATTCTAGGACTACAGAATATAATTGACATCAGATTCTTCTAACAAACCGTAAATAGAGTACAACAAATCCTACAACAGGTTCTAAGTTTTAAGAGACGCAACAAGTCACATAACGAAAGACACCCCTAAGGACACTTGAACCTAGAGTGCTCTGATACCAACTGTGATACCCTTGGATTTCTGAATGCGGGTTGGCCATGCCCACACCCGAATACCCGAGGATATCAAAACAAATCAGCAATAAACGAACATAGAGTACAAATGAATAAAGAATAATAAATAAATGCTGACAAAAAACTAAAATGATAATCTAATAATAAATCTCAGAATATATTTTCATTAATTAATAAACTCTTCTAATACAACTGATCCTCTAAAATACAACTCGGGAGTCCACACTGTGTGAACCCCTAGAAAATTCAAACTAAACAAATGACAGCAATAACTGTCTAAATCAAGAAATTGAATCATAAAGGAACTTCTATGTAGCATCGGAAGAATAAAGTTGACTGATCCCCGCTCAACATGAACAACCTCTACTCCCGACGAACACATGAAAAATAATGATAGGTCGGGCCCACAAACAAGTTCTACTTTACTACAGTCCAAGCAGAGATCCGATACACGTATACATCTTAGTCAATCCAACAATAACTAGAAGTCCATATATATATATACATACACTAAAAGAACCTCACTAGACTATACGGTTGTCTCAACCTGAATAGTAGGTAACATGCAAAACGCACATATAGTGGGCATGAGTACTTAGACCTATCAGGGTACACAACTACACTATATCTAGCTACACATCCTTGGCGATATACGTACCTTAACCACTGATCCTGAAACTCAAGCTCATATCATGGCATCATACTTATATATATAAAATCTAGTAACCATCCTATTCAGTATAAATTAATCCTCCATAAGTCATTCAACTTGTTCAGCTGACCTGACTTAAATATAAGTAGGTCTTAACATTTTAGTTAATCCATTCCCTTATATAATAAATTAATCCTCCATAAGTCATTCAACTTGTTCAGCTGACCTGACTTGAATATAAGTAGGACTTAACATTTTAGTTAATCCATTCCCTTATATAAAATAGATAGGACTTAACTGATAAGTTAATCCGTCCCTATAATGCCACCGTCCCATACCGGTGCATTAAATCACACAATCCAACAATTAATGTAACGATTAAGGAAATACATCAAACAATTTAGAAATAACTATGATAATATGATATCAAATTATCACAAAATAGGAATGACTTATTATTTATTTAAACTTCCTATATCATATGTCCTACATAAACTGAATCTTATACATATGATGATATTTTATTATACCGTCAAATAAGCATTCTCCATATCCAATTCATCCTACACATTTAATCTCAATTGCTAAAACATATTAAAAGATTAAATCCATTCGTTTGTTTAAAACATTCAAATACCAAGCATCATTACGATTGAGTTTATTTAAATTTATTTAAACCCAAACCTAATTCTTATTTAATGTTTAGAAATCATAGGTATGTTTCTACGGTCCATCATTCCACAGATATGAAAAATACATAATTTAAACATGTAAAAATTTACACCGAAAATCAAATCAAAATCATGCATTTATTAATTCATAACATAAGAACAAATATAAACCAAATTCATAAAACCTATGTTCTAATCCAATTAAACATGCACAATTATTTAATTTTATGTGTTTAATAAATTCTGGAATTTCCTAGGCATGTACAGAAACACGAATCAAAGGGAAAGAGATAGAAGAAAAACTTACCTTAAACTTTCGGATAGAAAGTTTAACTTTTTCTTCCTTGATCTTCTTTCTACAAGGTTTTTTTTTTCCTCCTTTCTTCCTTTTCCTCCTTCCCTCTCTAACTCTCTATCTCTAGAATATATCACGTGAATATTTCTAACCCTCTTTTTCAACCTATAACTATGTATTTATAGGCTAAATAAAATAACACTGTCCCTTTTCCCAATTCAAGTCAACTTAAAAAATAAATATTAAAATATTAAAAAGGTAAGTAAAATATGTTACATATATAATTTATGTATATCTTTATTAAATAAATAAATTATGCACATCCCATTATTTATTAATGAATTATCCAATAATACTTAAGTTACCATAACATTATAAAGTAACTTAAAACATAACACGTATCAAATCTATGTATATTTTTATTATTTAAATATAAAACATATACATTAGATTAAATATTATTACCCAAGTTACCATATCCTTTTTATAAATGTATATAATATATATCTATATATATACATACACAACTATCCATGGGTAATAATCCATACACATCCAACCTTCTATCCAAGTAGTCCATGGGACCCAATTGGTTGTCCCATTACCACTGACCATAACCATAAAAGAAAAATAAAAAAATAATAATAAAAAAAAATATTTAATTTACAATTAATCAAAACACCATTTAAGCACATAATCTAATTAAACAATTAACACATAGATAAATACAAATAATACATAGACACATAATCAAATAATCAAGTAATACATAATGCAATTAAACACATAAGCAATTAGTCAAATAATCAATTAAATAATTAAAAATATAATTAAAACAAATAAATAAACCTAGACTATTCTTTTAAAATTAGGGGTATTATATGGATTGTCCTCCCATTTAACACTACACCACTAGCATGAAAATAAACTAAGGGAGAAGCACAATCCATCAAGGAATAGGTATGAATCATCAAGAAAATCAGAAGAGCATTCCATTAAGCACTATATTTTGACAATCTCTAAATCTATAAGATCAATACACAGACATGCATTAATAACACAAAATCTAAAGACAAGCACATAAACATCTATTTTAACATACATAGACATATGGATAGAATGAAATGATCAATTGAAAGCATTTAACCACATAAATCATTGAACAATCAAGATCTACATATATCAAAGTGTCAAAACATTAATTACAACACTATTCCCTCAATAATACACAAGATTAAGATATAGAAAGCATGTTTGGGACTAACTCTAGCCCCAAAAGGATGTCTAGCCACTCATGGTGATGTTGCTCCAACCCTCAAATGCTAACTCCATAGAAGAGATCTGCTCCTTGTTGATGAAGAACTCCAATGATGTCTCTAGCCTCCTCCTCCTTTTCTTCCTCTCTAAGGCTTGCCTCCTTTTTGAATAATCCCTAGAATTCTCTCCCACTCAAAAAGTGTATCATATTTCTTTTATAGACAGGTCAAGTGACACACAAAATGAGCTGGGATCGTGCAAATAATATTCTCTAATGATTGGATAGAGGACGGATTGCACAAGCTGGCTTTTTAACTTTTTCGCACTGGAGGAAGTTCAATCGATCGAACCTTGGAGTCGGATCGATCAAACTTAGCTGATATCTATCGAACTAAGGCTGGATCGATCCAACTAGTTAAGCTTTTTGGGAAAAGACAAATCCGAGATATTTTGGGAAATATTTTTGGGAAAAAGACAAAAGTGGTTAGTGGGTGGTACAGCTGTGGATAAGATCAATCATTTAAATAAGGACAAAAGTGTTCGATCGATCGAATGGTGGTGTTTCGATCGAACTTTGAACTTTCTGCTTTGGGTCAAGGTTTGAATCTATCTTAAAGTACTGAGATCGATCAGTGTTCGATCGATCGAACCTTAAAGTTGGATCGATCGAACTTTACTGCTTCCCACCTTTGGCTGCATTTGCTTCTTTCTTTCTCCACTTTACTCCTTTCTTTGTTTAATCTTAGAATTGCTTCAATTAAGCTCTTATTTGGCTGATTTAACTTATTTTCAGGATAAATGCCTGAAAATGAAAATAATTCGAAATCAATTTAAAACGATAAAGTAAGATAGATAAAGGTACTAGAATGCTTAAACTTAAGTGGTTTAAATACGCACTTTTCAGCACTCATCAACTTTAATATTAAAAAAAAAAAAAAAAAAAATCCAACTCTTGGGTGCATGGCATCGGCTTAAACAATCCCTTAATTGAGGATTTATGCGAACCAATTATTGAAAAGACATCCAAGTGGTTGGCCTGGTTAAATCATACAATTTTGCAAAATAGAAAGGATAGACTCATTATTCTTCTTCACCTTTTCTTCTAAATTTTTTAGTCATTTTGTATTTTACTGTTACCATACTAAAGGTTCTCTCTCCTAGGGATTTGTTTGTCTTACTATCTTAGAGTCTATTTAATACTTAGATTTGATGAATATCAAAGTAAGAGTTGCATTCTTAGGGTTTTTCAAGAGAGAGAGAAAGATTCAGATTGCTCCATTTCTTTCATCTTCTTACTCTCTTCTTTATCTTCCACTAATTTACTATTATATTTTTTTTCTCTTACAGACACAGACTTATCAAATATATATATATATATATATATATATATATATATATATATATTTCTCTCTTACAGGCTTTTTACTTCAATCACACTTTAAACCATTAAAATAGTATACCCAAAATTTTACCGTATCTATTCTCAACCATCTTTGATCTATTCCACAAAATCTCTAGTCCAAATTCTTCATTACATGGCTGTAATTTTAGATTATCCTGCCCCACGCATGTTGAAATGAAACAAGCAAAGATAGAACTACAAAATGAGAACCCCGTCCAAAATTATTAAGAACTTTATTTATTATATATTCTTGGAAGAACCAATGTTTTGCAGCATGAAAAAACTATTACCGTATACTTTTTAAGGGGAAAAAAGATAGATAATATGAAAGTTTGTGTTCATTAGTGTTCAGTTTGCAATTATGATAACAACTTCCAGAAAACACATTTCTCTTACCACATAGATCACTGTCTTTCATCAGTTTCATTGAGCATGACAACTTTTCAAAAATATATAGGTGACAGATAAAGTAGTAATGCTACACATTACCATGGAATGATAAACAAGTCACCCAACTAAACATTGTACAGCTAAGGTTCCAACATCCAACGAAATGAACTTGAAGACAACAAACTGCATACCTTGCATTGTAAAAGTTCACGTACGTTGACAGCTAATAAAGTTGATGATCCCTGAGGCATGCTTCCATACCTAAACAAAAACATTAAATTAGTATCTGTAAAATTGTTTAAAGAAAGAAATATCCTATTTGTAATATACGTGAAAAATATGTATTACTTGTCACTGCCAATGCTAAGAATATAATTAAAGTAGTGTATATAAAAATTTAAGGAGTAGGAGTTCATCGACTTTTATGACTTCAATTAAGTCAACTAAAAGGAGTCATGAATAGTACATACCATGAAAAAAGCCTCTCCTTTCATTTCAAGTAATTTCTCTAAGTAAGTGCTTCACGATAAGGCCTTCGCAATTTTTCCTAATGCACTAGTTGCAGCATTGTAAGATCTCTGTAGCAAAAGTTCAGCACACCTATTTGTACACTCTTGCCACTTTCTGCCAGTCGGGATATCACCCAATTATGCAAAGCAATATCCAAAAAAAAATTTGTACACCATAGGGTATGAAACTTGGCACCTTCAAAAATACTAGTTTCCTATATTTTAAATCCAGAAAGATAGACTAATACATAGATCAGAAAATCCACAAAAGCATCACACATTTCCACTTATAAGAAAATTGTAAAATCCCTGAAGATGAGAAACAGCTAGCAATTTCAAGAAGAAAATGCATTATAATCAGAAAAATTGAGATATCACCCAATTATGCAAAGCAATATTCATTTTTTTTTTTTTGTAGACCTGGGGCTTGAATCTTGGCACCATCCAAGAACTGATCCTCTATACTTTTAAACCAGAGAAATAAACTGACACAGAGAGTAGAAAATCAACAAAAGCATCAAATATTTCCATCCGTAAGAAAAATATAAAAATCACTGAAGATGAGAAAGATTTAGTAATTTCTATCATTCTAATCAATCAAACTTGACAACAAAGATTGAACTATTGTAGATCTTTTTTATTATTATTATTATTTTTTTCCCAGTAAATGGAATATTGTAGATGCTGTCTTATCCTTAACTAATAAAAAAAAAAAAAAAAAATTCTCCATATACACACAACTATCAGAAATAAGACTGAAAATAAAAAATAAAAAAAAACTACCACCAGCATATAATAATTTGTGCACTAATAGAACCATAAAGTATAGAAATCTATATACTTGTACTCTATTTACTTAGTATTTTGTATGCCATCAGCAGCTTCAATCATAATTCTCCGATCCAAACATACCCCACTCCTTGATTCCAAGCACTTTCTGAAATATTGCAGCGCTATCTTCGACTTCCCCCAGGGCAAGCTGATTCTAAAAACAAAAAATAATCTGATATAATTGACAAAAAAAAAAATAGAAATAGACGTTATAGAAATAAAAAATATATATTTGTTTTGCTGAAATAAAATGTAGATTATGGTGATTACCTCAAAATGCAATGCAATGCAAATTTTGTTACTTTATATTGTAAAAAAAAAAAGATTATATAAAAAAAGATCATAAAAAATTTAATAGGAATTAGTTTGCAAAACAAGAATTACAGACCAAGATTAGTTGATTTAGAAAACCCATACATACAAGTTAGCAGTTGCAAAGAGAGAGGGGGCAAGTTCAGAGTTAAGAACGAGAATAGAGATGGAGGCGATTGGGGAGGCTGAAATCATTATGCAACTTCAAAACGGCACTGAAGGGGAGAGCTGTGTAAGAAAGGGGGCTCGGTTAGGGCAAAACGAAATGGGAAAGTGAAATTGCAAAACGACTATGGGAAATTGAAATACAAATTGCAAAGTAGGACAAAGCTCTTACCAGTAATGGAGAGCGCGAGAGATGTTGCAGGTGAGAAATCGGCGGCGGTGACCGGTGATCGAAAACTGATTCTCATCGGCGATGACCGGTGATGGAAAACGGCACTAAAGGAGAGAGTTGTGTAAGAAAGGGGGCTCGGTTAGGGCAAAACGACGGACCTATATGATTTCATGTATGAAACAGATCTGATGCATATAAGTGCTAAAAAAAAAATAGAGAAATGGAAAAATACTAGGTCCATGAAAAAACAATCTGATAATCAAAGAAGTCTTGTTCAGAGAAAAAAAAACTCAGTTCGTGAAGAAGAACACAAACCTTGAATATCTATGTAGTTTGAGGGAAAAGCGATCTGAGAGAGAGAGAGGCGTCTTATGGAGTTTGAGGGAAGAGTAATTGTAGAGAGAGTAAGTTTCTGTGAATAGAGCTCGAGGGCAGAGTACTGATGAATCTTTTTACTTTTTTATGTTTTTCTTTTTCAAAAACAATATAAAAAGCTTATAAATTTTGACACCTATATTGTAAAAAGTAAGGGCCCTAAAATTCCCCTCCTGGAATATTCGTAGGTCAAAAAATTTCATTTCAAATTTATTTTTATGGCTAAATAAATTTTTAAATAAAATAAATTTGTATATTTATATTATATATAATTGTAGAGTAATAATAAAGCAGTGGTATATTTTAAACTATAAATCTGTACACAAGAGTCTATTTACTAATAAAATTAACTAAATATATTTTTTAATTAAATAAAATTGTTATTAATATATTAATTATAATGAAAACAACAAATCAAAGGCAGAATAGCCAAAAAAATAAAATTGGGGGGGCGGGGGGGGGAATTAGTAATTATAAAATCAAAATTTAAAATAAAATAAAATAATTGTAATTGTTTATATTGTTAAAAGTATGCATATAAATGATATGAGAAGAAAAATGAAATAAAACCGCTGAGTTTGTCAAGTGTCAAGCACGTTTTTTCTTCTCTCTAATTCATAACAAATAATATATGTGTATGTGCGCGTGTATATATATATATATATATGTATAAAGTATATTGCAGTAAAAGATTTATTCAACTTTGAAGAGTAATAATTAATTTTATTTGCAGTCATAAGGTAACCATAAATAAATTTAAAAAAAAAAATTATTTGTGAAAAATTTGGGGGAGGGGGCCATTCGGCGATAGCCCCCTTCCCTCCGCCCCTGAGACAAATTATATCTCCACTTCTAATTATATCTTCACAAATTTTTTAATTTTTTTTGCAAATATTTAATTCATATAAATAACTATATAAATTTATATATTTATATTATAACCATAGAAAAATAAATTATTTATTTTTAATTCTAAATTAACATTTTAAAAAAATTAACTAATTAAGAAATTCCTAATAAAAATTGTCCTCTAATTCACAGTTCATTTAACTCACCATTTGTCCAAAATAACATAAAATTATCAAGATTTGGTTCTATGTATTCCATTGCTAGGATAGATGGCTATATTTTGGATGATGTGGATGTGCTGGTTAATAAGTTTAGTCTCATCTCTTCGTCACAGGTCACGAAACCATGTAAATGACATACCATTGAAAGATTATGGCGAATAATTTAATTTTATTGTTATGGATAGGATATGAATTTATATATATATATATGCCAAGATATGAGTTTGAGATCTCAGAATCAGTGGCTAGGATGGAGGCGTATATTGCCAATTGAGATGGGTAGCTAAATTAGGGATGTGTATGCCCTAGTAGAAGGAGGACTCGTAACCACATTTGTGTGCGATTTGCATGAGATACCCACTACACGATTAAGGCTGCCTTAATTTAGTAAGAGTCTTTAGTGTGTATATTTATATACTTATCGACTATGTAGTTATGGCATGAGTTAGCTTTAGACGTGTAGTTTTCAGGTCTCTATTTGTGTTGTTGTAGAGAGAACTTGTTTGTGAGCCTGACCCACTATTTATTTTTCACGTCCATAGGTTTATTAGGTGTAGATATTATTAGTGCAGAGTAGAGATCAATTATCATCACTCTTCCAGTCACCTACATAGGATTCTAGTTTATATTTTAGTATTCAAATATAGACAGTTATTTTAGTTTGGAATTTTATAGGGGTCCACATAGTATGGATTCTTAAGTTGTATTTTTGTAGAATTGTTATATCAGAGGAATTTATTATTTAATGAAATTTACTTTGAGGATTTAATTATTATTACTCCATATTATATGTATAATTTGATACATATACATACATATATAACTTAACAGTTCGATTTAGTCCGGTTTGGTTTTAAAGGTCAAGCCGATTTAGTCTTAAAGGACCTCAAACCGTTAACAAATTATATTTTTTCCTATTTAAATTTAAATATGAATTATACAATTTACCCCTTAACTTTATTTTTTAGAATTAATTTATAATAAAAAAATATTTATAACTACCATTTTATAAAATGATTAACTTAGTGGTGAATAATATGTCCTAAGTCTCTCTTCCTATCTCTAAACCCGATTTACTCTAATATTAATTTCTATTGCATGTTCATTTAATTCAACATTGATTTAATCAACCAAACAAACTTCCTTTCAATCTCACGTTCACTACGTCAAGTTAGATTCCAAGCCATATATCCCAGTGGATGATCCCTTCTCACCATACTCACATATACGTGTTAGTGGCTTTTAAATGTAAAAGTTGATACACATTTGACATATCAAATATAACACATTTTTGTGGTACACACCAAAGTCGCATCAACATTCAAAAGTTCTACTAATTTATTTAGAACTTCTAATTCATTATTCTGCTAATATATTCGTAATTGAAGTAAATTAGTGAACACCTTTAGAACTGCTAATAGCCTAATACATTTTTAGAATTACTAATTCAACAAGAAATTAACATCTTAGTTTAGAAAATTAACCAACAATATTTAGCCACTATAGAATTATATTACTCCATGTTATATGTATAATTTGATACATATACATATATATAAGTTAACGGTTTGATTTGATCGAGTGTAAAAGACCTCAAACCCTGAACAAATTGTAATTTATATATATATATATATATATATATATATATATATATATATATATTCTCTTATTTAAATTTAAATATGAATTATACAAATTACCCATTAAATTTATTATTAGAATTAATTTATCATTAAAAAAAATTATAACTACCATTTTATAAAATGATTAACTTATTATTAGAATATTGGGGCATTTTTAGCAATAAGTGGTATTAGGCACAAAATATAATTCAAGTGGGTTATTTGCAAATTCAAACATAGTTCATGAAGTTTTTTGCACTTTACCATATATTTATATATATACACACACTTTTGTACATTAAAAAATACCTTATGATAAGTTTAAATTTTTCTTATTACTTCCTAATCAAGTATATGGTGACAGAAGGTCAATTTGTGACAAGAATTTACTCTTTTGTGACGAAATTTCCTTTGTCACTAAAAGATAGAAATTGGCGACAAATAATTTGTCATTAAAAATCTATTAATGGCGACAAAGACAATTTTTGTCACTAGAGTATAGTTTTTTGGGACAAAAATTCATCGTTACTAAATGATAATAATTAGTGACAATATCTTGTCACTAAAAGTCTATTAATTGTGACAAAGTGAGTTTTGTCACAATAACTTAATCTTTTGCGACAATGCATCATTTGTCACTAGAAGATTGTGTTTGTAGCGACAACAATTTTTATCGTTAAAATGTCATCAATTGTGACAAAACTATATTTGTCACAATATCTCGATCTTTTGCGACAATGTATCATTTGTCACTAGAAGGTTGTTTGTAGCGACAACAATTTTTGTCGTTAAAATGCCATTAATTGTGACAAAGCTATATTTGTCACAATAACTCGATCTTTTGCGACAATGCATCATTTGTCACTAGAAGATTGTTTGTAGCGATAACAATTTTTGTCGGTAAAATGCCATCAATTTTGACAAAGCTATATTTGTCACAATAACTCAATCTTTTGTGACAATGCATTATTTGTCACTAGAAGGTTGTTTATAGTGACAACCATTTTTGTCGTTAAAAAGCCATCAATTGTGACAAAGCTATATTTGTCACAATAACTCGATCTTTTGCGACAATGCATCATTTGTCACTAGAAGGTTGTTTGTAGCGACAATAATTTTTGTCGTTAAAATACCATCAATTGTGACAAAGCTATATTTGTCACAATAACTCAATCTTTTGTGACAATGCATCATTTGTCGCTAGAAGATTGTTTGTAACGACAATAATTTTTATCGTTAAAATGCCATCAATTGTGACAAAGATATATTTGTCACTAAAATTTAGTTAATCGCGACAAAACTATATTTGTCACTATATTGTAATTAGTTGTGATTTTGTCGTCATACCCTTTCTCGCCATATGGTCGGACGTGAGGAAATTCCCGGGGTAGATATTGCAACAACTTTTTGTGCAAAATTTTGTTTTTTTAAATAAAGTTAGCTTAAGGCGACAAAGTTACTTTTTGTCACAAAATGTCATTTTATTGCGACAAATTTATCTTGTCGCTATAGTTTTTGTCGTCAAAGACCAAATTTGTTATAGTGGACATTTTTAGAATAACTAAATGTGACAACAATATAAAAATATAATTTATCATAGTATATAAATAAAATGACATTAAATGAAATAATAACATACTATAAATTATTTAAATAACAAAGATGGTAAATCCAGCCATAGTAAATAAATTATTAAACAATAAAGGTGGTAAAATCGGTCATAAATTATTAAATAATAAAGGTGGTCAGACCGACCATAATTAGCGGATTAGTAAATAATAAAGGTGATAGAACCGACCATAATTAGTGGATTAGTAAATAATAAAGGTGATAGAACTGACCATAGTGTAAGCACATATATCATTTAAGTGAACAAATTTATTTTATAAACAATAATCAATAATAAAATTATTTTACCCTTTGGAATCAAAAATACTATTTTTTTCGATAAAGCAAACCAATCTAACAATATATTAAAACTAATATCACAAAATAGATATATAATTAGGATAGAAAGAGGGAGAAAAAACTTCTTCTTCAAATCTGAGATGGATAGCTCGTGCTGATAACGTATAATAAATATATATGTATATATATATATATATATATATATATATATATTTATAGAGTAATTTTATTAAAGGTATGAAAAAAAGCTTTTCAGAGATATAGAGAGATAGAGAACGAAAAGAGAGAGAGAAATGAAAGCTTTCTCATTTAGTACACTCCAACCAGTACATACATAAGGCCTATTTATAGGCTTCGAATCAAGCTTCCCATGTACGTCACTTATGGTATCTTCCCTTATAAGCCTCAACAATGTGATTTCATGGATGATCTCATAGATGACTTATATATTTGGCAATCCCACACACTTATATAGATATAT